TTCTGGTTTTCTGGTGGTTAATTGGAGATAAGAGTTTCATGGACTTTGGGCTGGGAAGGTGGCTCAGTGGTAGAGTGCTTGCCTTGCATGCATGAGGACCTGGGTTTGGTTCCTCAGCACCACATAAGCAGAAAAAGCCAGAAGTGGTGCTGTGGTTCAAGTGGTAAAGAGTGCTAACCTTGATCTGAAGAGCTGAGGGACAGTGCGCAGACCCCACGACCAACAACAAAAAAAGAGTTTCACGGGCTTTTCTGCCCAAGACTGGCTTTGAACTGGGATCCTCAGATCTCAGCATCCCAAGTAGCTAAAATTATAGGCATGAGCCTCTGGTACCTGGCTAGAATCTATTTTTGAATAAATAAATGTGTTCATATGAAGGAGAATTGATGGGAAAATAGTGAAACATATTAGTAGTGACTATGGTAGATTGGAATTGTAAGTGGCTTTCATTTTTCAGATCTTCTAGATGTTCTGTAGAGTCCATTATTCTGTCGCGGCTCAGGATTTCGCCTCTCTTTGAGCGAGCCTGTTGCTTGCTGGTATGCTCACCAAGTCCTGGTCCAGGGGCCCTGCCAAGAACCAGCCTGGCTCTTCCACCTAGCTGTCCACTTTTCAGATAGTTGTGTGGCAGAGGAGAGGTCAGGAGAAAAAGACGTGTGGAAGAGCAAAGGCCTAGTATCAGCGATATCAGCTGGGTGAGGATGATCACAGGGTACAGGTGATAGGACTGGGGCATTGCCCTGGCCCCAAGAGCAGCAGCTTGCAGTTCCTGGGGAGCAAGGGGCTATGTGCATGACTTTTCAGTGAAAGAGCATTGAGAGTTAGCTCTTCCCTTGTGCTCTGATCTTGATGGTAGAAATGCCTGCCATTACCCATCTTCGATCTGCTACCTGGGCTTTTCTCCCTCTGTGATGCATTGGCTTGCAAGGATATGTGAGGCAGTAGACAGGGGAATCTTGCCTGGTTAGGATCACTGACGCCTTCCAGTGGGTTGTCCGGCTGAGTCTGCATCCTCAGCGTTGAAATCTGTTGGCTGGCTGCTGTGCTTCTCTGGCAGCTGGTCACTACCTCCATCCTCAGAGGCTGGGCGAGGGGAGGGTACTGGCCTGTTGCTCCCCTCTCCAGCCTGCCCAAGTCGCCCCTCATTTTCTGTTTCTCTTCCCTGCAGATGTCAAGCCCTCTAACATCCTGGTCAATTCCCGAGGGGAGATCAAGCTGTGTGACTTTGGGGTCAGTGGGCAGCTTATTGACTCCATGGCCAACTCCTTCGTGGGCACAAGGTCCTATATGTCGGTATGAACAGCAGGCTCCATTCCTCCTGCTTTTGGGTGGGTGAGGGGCGGCAGGCAGATCTTGGGCTGGGTGATGAGTGTGGGGAGAGAGGGTCATCAGGAAGTGAAGGCTAAGCATAGAAGTCCTCTCAAGGAGTTCACACCTGAGGGGCGAAGGTCTCGGCCACTCATTGCCCTGAATGCACACTGGGTCCTAACCCACTGCCCAGCTCCAAAGCTTGGCTGCCATTCGGAAGAGACTTAAAATTCTCCTACCTCCTGGACATCTTTTCCTCATTGCCTTCAGACCCCACAAGCTCAGTATTCCCAGACATGCCCCTAAACTGCTCTACTGCCTGGGTGCTGTCCCTTAGATTTTTTGCTCAAGGCTGGCATACTTCCACTTGAGCCAGAACTCCACTTCTGGCTTGTTGCTAGCTAATTGGAGGTAAGTCTCCTGGACTTTCCTGCTTAGGCTGGCTTCAAACCTTCATCCTCAGATCTCAGCCTTCTGAGTGGCTACGATTTACAGTATGAGCCCCTGGCACCCAGCCAGACATTTACTTTTAGCCACCAGCCCCTTCTCCTTGTCCTTTTATTCCTAGTGACCCCCAGTTTCTGTATAGAGTTGTTTCTTTTCTCCTGCGTCCCAGTATGTCTCCTATTCACCTATTCCTGACTACAGAACACCTGGGCCCCCACCTTGAGGAACTTCCCTCTTGTTCCCAGCTCTACTGGCTTTGTCACCACCAGAGTGCTGGCTCAGTTATCCCCAGGCCCACATTCACAGCAGCATTCCAGCCTTTTCCCTCCCTATACAGAGAGCTGCTTGGGGGGCAGAGCCACAGCTGTAGGAGTCTTTCCCTGGGGACTGGCTTGAAGTCTGGCATGTGGTAGGAGTCGAGGGAATGCATGGTCAGTGGGTGATGTAGGGTGACAGAACGGGTAGGTGTACAGACATTTTGTTGAGCGGGACGGGTAGAAGGAAGAGTGTGGTGCGTATGGCAGTGGGGTGATGCAGAGGAGAAGCTAAAATGACTGCTGGTCTTCACAGAGGTGCAGGCTTGTGTCTTGGGACAGGCCTGAGGGCTGTCCTCAGATGGCCTCATTTGATCCCTACAGTTCTGCCCATTTCAGAGGGAAGAAAGTTAGATCCTCAAAGGCTATGACGTGCCTGTGTGACTTTGCCGAGCCCGGATTGGAAGCTAACTGCCCTGGCCCCTATACAGGAGCTCATGCATACATCTTCATTCACTCCAGTGGGAGTACTCTTCTTCTCCCTTTCCTTGCCATCCATCCCTCATTACTTCCCTAGATGACTAATAACTGAGCTGCTGGCCACGCAAGTTCCACATAAATCAGCAGGGCCTTGGGACTTAATGATCCAAGTTTTGGTGGTTGGGCATTTGTGTTATGTGGTTAGTTTCAGAATAGTGCTCAGTTAGAATTAGTGAAAAATCCTATGGGAGAATTTGATGTCTAAATCAATGTACATAGTCAGAATAAAGATTTTTTTTTTTTTGGTTCCTGGGTCTTGAACTCAGGGCCTGGCCAATGTTCCTGAGCCTCTTTGTGCTCACAGCTAACACTCTACCAGTTGAGCCACAGTGCTACTTCTGGCTTTTTCTGAGTTTATTTATTTATATTTTTATCGTTGGTCATGGGGCTTGAACTCTGGGCCTGGGTGCCTTCCCTCAGCTCTTCAGCTCAAGGCTAGTGCTCTACCACTTGAGCCGCTCTGTCACTTCCAGTTTTCTGGTGGTTTTTATTGGAGATAAGAATCTCATGGACTTTCCTGCCCTGGCTGGCTTTGTACCACGATCCTCAGATCTCAGCCTCCTGAGTAGCTAGAATTACAGCCGTGAGCCACCAGCGCCCGGCTGCGCCTGGAGATAAGAGTCTCTTGGAAGCTGGTGCTGGTGGCTCTGTAATCCTAGCTACTCTGGAAGCTGAGATCTGAGGATCATGGTTTGAAGTCAGCCCAGGCAGGAAAGTCCATGAGACTTTCATCTTCAGTTAAACCAGAAAACTAGAAGTGGAGCTGTGGCTCAAATGATAGAGTGCTACCCTTAAGCAATAAAACTCAACAACAGCAACAAGGCCCTGAGTTCAAGCCCCATGACTGACCTAAAAAAAAAGTCTTAAAGGGAATTTTCTACCCAGGCTGGTTTCAAACCAGATCACCTCAGATTACAGCCTTCTGAGTAGCTAGGATTGTAAGTATAAGCCACTGGCGCCCTGCTTAAAGATTAAAAAAAAAAAAAAAAAAAGATTCTTGAATACATGTGCTCCTTGAAATAATGTTCAGTAAAGATAATGCTTTTGTATAGCTCCACCCAAGAGCCATGTAAGTTGTTTTCCCTCTGACTCATCATTTCATCTCTGTGTAGCACTGTGCAACATATTTTTCTTTTGATTTGACCTCTTTGGTAACACTAATACATAGATGAGTATTTTGTTATGTCACTATTAACATTCTTAATATCAGCAGTAGCTGCATTTATCCATGAGGAAACTGAGGCTCAGGATGCTATCACTTTGGAAGTCTCTGTTGGGACTTGTTCTCTGATCACAGCTCCTTTGTGCTTTCTGCCCACTGTACAACCTCATCTTCACCCAGCTTTTCACTTCATATTTCAGACTCACGTGGCAAGATGAGCCTCTCATGATGGGCCCAAGCCAGGCTTCCCTGCATGTGCAGGCCAGGCGCCAGACCAGGCCGAGCTGGAACTGCAGGCTGAAGTGGCAGGCAGGGCCTAGCCATTTACATGCTGTCAGTTCAGGAGAGGGGTCAGGGGTGAGGGGATAGAGCAGCAATGAGGGCAACAACAGACCTAGCTCACCTCCGTAAACATGGCATTTGGGGGCAAATGAGAGGCGAGATTCAAGAGGTAGAGCTAAAAGAGGGTATGAGCTGCCCAGAGGAAGAACAGAAGATGAAGCCCAGAAGTAGACCTGCACAAGGACCCATCGTAACTGTGTGTGTCTCCCCTGTAGCCAGAGAGACTGCAGGGCACCCACTACTCCGTCCAGTCAGACATCTGGAGCATGGGACTGTCTCTGGTGGAAATGGCGGTCGGGAGGTATCCCATCCCTCCTCCAGATGGCAAGGAGCTGGAGCTGATGTTCGGGTGCCAGGTGGAGGGAGATGCGGCTGAGACACCACCCAGGCCAAGGACCCCAGGGAGGCCCCTGAGCTGTGAGTGTATACTGGGGAGTCCCTTCCCACCAGGGTTTCTGATTCTGTCTCTGGGCCCCAGATTCCTCTCACTTCTGGGAGTGAACAGCGGGGTGAGGGGAGGTGGGGGAGGTGTCTCCAAGGTAGATGTGGGAAGGTGCTGTTATTACCAGCAACTTCCCCATTCCTTGGATGCCTACTGCCTTCTAGGGACTGCAGTTGCTCTTCATATTCATCGGATTGTTTTTCAATCATGTTTTGGGTTGATTTGTTTTTGTTGGTTGTGGGGCTTGAGCTCAGGGCCTAGGCCCTGTTCCTGAGCTTTTATTTTGCTCAAGCCTACTGTTCTACCACTTTGAACCACAGAGACCCTTCTGGTTTTCTGGTGGTTAATTGGAGATGAGAGTCTCACAGACTTAACTGCCCAGTGAGGCCTCCAAGATCCTCAGATATTAGCCTCTTTAGTGGCTATGATTACAGGAGTAAACCTGAGCCACCAGCACCTGGTGTGAATTTGTTGTTTTGTTTTTTTTTTTGGTCAGTCGTCGGGCTTGAACTCTGGGCTTGGGTGCTTTCCCTATGCTCTTCAGCTGAAGGCTAGTGCTCTCCCACTTAAGCCACAACACCACTTTTGGTTTTCTAGTAGCTTATTTGACGTTCCTGCCCAGGCTGGCTTTGAACCGTGATCCTCAGATCTCAGCCTCTCTAGTAGCTAGAATTACAGGTGTGAGCCATGGCGTCCGGCCTGTTGTTTATTTTTCATTGAGGTAAAAATCACATTTACTTGGGTGCTGGTAACTCACACCTGTAATCGTAGTTACTCAGGAGGCTGAGATTGAGGAACAGAGTTTGAAGCCAGTCTAAACAGGAAAGTTTGTGAGACTCTTATCTCCAATAAACTACCAGAAAGACTTGAGCACAAAAGCTCAGGGACAACTAGGCATTGGTGGCTCATACCTATAATCCTAGCTACTCAGGAGGCTGAGATCCAAGGATAACAGTTCCAACCAAGCTTGAGCAGGAAAGTCCATGAGAATCTTATCTCCAATTAACTACCAAAAAGCCAGAATAGGAGCTGTGGCTCAAGTGGTAGAGCACTAGCCTTGAGGACAAAGTCTCAGGGACAGTGTCTAGGCCCTGACTTCAGAATAGCTTCAGGACTGACATACAAAAAGGCACAGGGACAGCACCTAGGTTCCAGGTTCAAACCCCAAGACTGGTTTAAAAAAAAAAAAAGTCACATTTTAAAGATTATATTACACCAGGCATCAGTACTAGAGCATTAGCTTTAAACAAAAGACGCTCAGAAACAGTGCCCAGGCCCTGAGTTCAAGTCCCAGACCCCTAGCTCCAAGCCCAGATAGATAGATAAGATAGATAAGTCTTTATAGTACTGTGGTTTGTCATATATTCCTCTGTTGTGTAGCCATCTCTACTATCTCATTGTAACGCTGTCACCCCCAAGCCCGTCCCTGGCAGTCCCTCACTCCGTCTCCATGTGCTTTGATTTACCATGCACTTTCTAAGTATCATAACAGTCCACTAATAGTAATGGGTACTATTCTAAAGATGAGGCAACTGAAGCATAAAGCACTTACCTTTTCCACACGACTGCGAACACCATAGCGTTATGCAGCCCTGCCTGCCTCTCTGTGCATGGGTACTGTGAGGTAACTTGGTTTTCAGGGAGCATTCTGGCCCAGCCTTCTTCTTTGTAGTATGGAGTTGCTGCTGGGAAGTGCCCCCGTAGCCAGGGAGAGCTGGCCTTGTCACTGATGAAGGCCACAGTGGGCTCAGGTGAGAGCTGCAGAGGTTCTGGCTGGTAGCGGGTCATGGGAGAGCTGCCTGTGACTCTGGGATATCAATGTGCAGAGAGAATGAGAACTACGTTCTGGGGTTGCGAGGGAGCCCGGGAGTAGAGCACCTGCCTCAAATGCATGAGGATCTGGGCTTGATCCCTAATATGCACCACCTGAGTCTTTCATTATTTCATTCCTCTTCTCAGTACAAGGAAGAAGGATGGGCAGATGGAATGACCACTTACCTCTACTGTACAAAACACAGTACTTTGTCTCAATGGTCATCTGATTTCCCCTACATGTCAAGCCTAGGATGTGGCAGAGGCCTGATTTGTATCTTGAGTACTTTAGTACTTTGTTACAGTCCTGTGTTCAGCTTGTCTGTGGTGGTTGTTTATTCTCCATGCTTGATCCCTTGCTTCAGGCCAACAAAATGATCTGAGAAGTGTTTTCTTTTCCTTTATAAACTCTGTAGCATATGGAATGGACAGCCGACCTCCGATGGCAATATTTGAGTTGTTGGACTACATAGTCAACGAGGTAAGTACTGCCTTGTTTCCTTAACCTCTGGATTTTGAGAATAAAGATGGTTACTATAGAAAAAAAAAATAACCTGTAAGCCAGGTGCCAGTGGCCCATGCCTGCAATCCTGGTTACTCAGGAGGCTGAGTTCTGAGGATCTTGATTTGAAGCCAGCCCAGACAGAAAAGTCTGAGACTTCCATCTCCAAATAACTAGCAAAAAGGCTGGCTGGAGACATGTGGAGTGCCAGCTATGAGCAAGAGAGCTGAGAGAGAGCACAGAGCCTCAGAACTGGCAAAAGGAAGGAAGACAGGAAGGGAGGAAAGGAAGAATGAAAGGAAAGAAGGAAAAGGAGAGAATGGGGAAGAGAGGGGGGGGGGTAGAAGGAAACCTGTAAGCCAAGTATGGTGACTCATCCAGTATCCTAGCACCTGGGGTACTGAGACAGGAAGATTGAGAATTCTAGGCAAAAACTTAAAAAAAAAAAAAAAAGTACCAATCGCTGGGCTTGTTAGTAGTGCCTACCTACAATCCCAGTGACTCTGGAGGCTAAGGCTGGAGGATCCAAGAGTTTGAGCCCAGCCTTGGTTGTATAGCATCTCCCCTCCCCCATTCC